ACAAGACCAGCAACGTTGGCAGGAAGCACAGGAACGACGTATGGCTTTGTCTTGTTTTTGATGGGAAGCATGGGAGGGCCAGGATTGAGCGGCATCGGCCAGCTAAGTGGCAGAGGGGGAGTAGGAGGAAATCCATACAAATAAGGAGTACGACATACAATGGGAGGAGAAGTGGGAGGAGGAGTAGGAGGAGTAGGAGGAGGCGGAGAAGGAGCAGGAGGAGGAGGAGGAGGAGGAGGGGGAGGAGCCGGAGCAGGAGGAGGAGGAGAACAAGGAGGAGGGGGAGGAGGCGGAGGAAGACGAGGAGCGGGGAAGGAAGACGCTCCCAAGCGGCCTCCAGATGACCCCGACAGCCCTTCGAAGCGATCCCAAAAAGAATCCATGAGGATTCAGACCCACTAAACTCGATCCGCCGCCCCCTGTTGGCTTGCCGCAGTGGTGCCCGGCGTGCTGAACCCTTTCGCTTTTGGTTTTGGCTCTTTTTCCAAAAGGCTTCCCCCTGGGGCTTCGGCCCGTCCCGCCGGCCACCCGAAAGGCTTCGAAAATCCGGTTGCAAAGGTTGTTCCTGCTCCAGACGGCTCCAAGATGGCCTCCAAGTTCGCCCAAGATGGTCCAAGATAGCTTCCAAGACGATCCAAGAGAGTCCAAGATGCCTTCAAGTTCTCACAAGAAACCTCTAAGACGGCCCAAGATGGCCCCAAAGGCCTCCAAGCGGCCTCCAAGATGGCCCAAGAGGCCTCGAAGAGGTCCTCCAGGGTCCTCAAGGACGGCCCGAAGAGGTCAAAATCATTGATTTCCCGTAGGTTTTTGAAGGGTATCAGCTTTTGCTCCTTTTCGGATTCCGACGGCCCAAGACTGCCACGAGGACATCGAGATCGCCCCAAGAGTGCCCAAGAAGCCTCCAAGACGGCCCCAGGACGGCCCAATGGGGCCCCCAAGACGGCCCCAGAGAAGGTCCCAAGACGGCCCAAGATGCCCTCCAGAAGCCCCAGATGGCCTCCAAGACTGCCAAGATGGCCTCCAAGATGCCTCCAAGACGGCCAAGATGGCCTCCAAGACTGCCAAGATGGCTCCAAGATGCACCCAAGACGGCCCAAGATTGCCTAAGACTGCCCAAAAGGCCTGCTAGAGGCCTCCAAGACGGCCCAAGAGCCCTCCAAGACGTCCTCCAAGAAGGCCCGAAAGGGCCAAAATCATTGACTTTCCTATGGTGTTTGAAATATTTTCGCATTTTCTTCTTATCAGCTCTCCGACGGCCCCAGACGGCCCAAGAGGCCCCCAACATCGCCCCACGATCGCCCAAGATGCCTCCAAGATGGCCCCCTGACAGCCCAAGGTGCCCCCAAGAGGGCCCCAAGACGGCCCCCAAGAAATCGAAGATGGCCTCCAAGACGGCCAAGATGGACTCCAAGATGCCTCCAAGACGGCCTCCTAGACAGCGAAGATGGCCCCAAGATGCATCCAAGACGGCACAATGGCCTTAGACTGCGCAATAGGCTCGCAAGAGCCCTCCAAGACGGCCCAAGAACCCTCCAAGACGTCCTCCAAGAAGGCCCGAAAGGGTCAAAATGGCCTCCAGACGGCCAAGATGACCTTCAAGATGCCCACGTGTTCCCCGAAGGCTTTCCAAACCGACTTGGGGAACACATGGTCCGATAGCTTGGCAGGGATCTGGCCTCAATGTTCGGCCACATAGGCGCTTCCGAAAGGGCAGGGGCGTCTTCGATAATCCAACAAGGGCCTGAAGTCGCCCGAGCGCCCTCAGAGAGCCCCCATAGGGCACCCGCAGAATTCCAAGCAAGCCCTAATGCCAGGAACCTTTGGTACGTATCACCGTTGCGGTTTTTTTCGGGAGCACTCGCCGGGTTAGGTCGGGCATGTCCTCCTATAGGCGGATTTTGGGGAAATTTACAAATAGTCGTAACATGCTCAAGCGTACATCCACATGGTAAAAAAAACGTCCGCCAGATTATCTGTTCTACTATTTTTGGATTTTCCTCCTGTAAAGGGACAGGCCCGACTGAACCGTAGGGTCCTATTGAGCCTTTTACAGCCTCTTCGTGCCCTTTGGGGCCCCTCCCCAAGCCTCCTGGGACTATCAGAGAGCTGGGTGAGAGCTCCAAGCGGCCTCCAAGAGAGCCCGCAGAGAGCTCCAAGAGGGTTCCCAGGAGGTCCCCACTAGTGTCATACCAAGGCACGGTGGCGGGATGGGCCGTGGGCCACCAGATCCGTCGCCCCTCTTGATTTATCAAAGGGGTGCCTGGCGTGCCGAATTATATGGCTTTTGGTTTTGCTTCTTTTTCCAAACGGCCAAGATGACCTTCAAGATGCCCACGTGTTCCCCGAAGGCTTTCCACACCGATTCGGGGAACACATGGTCCGATGGCTTGGCAGGGCTGGCCTCAACGTTCGGCCACATAGGCGCTTCCAAAAAGGCAGGGGGCGGCGGTGATTCGCCGTGGGCGTCTTCGATCCGTCGCCTCCGGTTGATTCATCACAG